GGAAAACTTTACCTACTGAAATTTGAAAGGTGATTTTTCAGTCTTAGTGGCATCTAATTAATTTTACTTATGATCCTGTTAATAACTTTGCCACAGCTTTTGTTCTAAGATGCGCAATGCTTCGGTATATACCATATACCCAATCATTGCACTGGGTCTGAATCACAAGGGGGTTATGCCCTACTCATTAGAACACGTAGCATTGGCCCAATAAAATGAAAACAAATGGGACATGAGAAGCTGGAGAATGCTTGGCTCAAAGCCTGTTCAGTGGCACCCGTCCAAGGCATGACCTGCTCAACATGTTTTTGAAGTTAGTGTTCAACTACCATGAGCACAGTGTTAAGAGGACAGACGTGCTATTCCTCCTGTTGAACAAAAATGTGGGTACCCCAACAGCTACCATCGCCGTGATGGACAGGACAGGATGCCCCTGATAATTGGGGTAGTCAGGCTCGAAGAGTTCTGAGGAAGAATGGGTACCCCCTCTGCGGAACTGCAGCTATGTAAGTCAACAAGACATCACTGACCAACCTGCTGCCTCCCCAAGGACCAACGAGACATCACCAGATTCCCTGGTGGTGACTATCCCTGCTCTGTAAACCATTTGCTAGAATTTCTTTCTTTATTATCGCTAACTTCCTCATCTTCCCCACATCCCTTAGTAGCTTAAAACCCATAATGCTGATTATGCTCTGATTTAAGACTTATTACCTGTTCATACTGGGATGAATCATACAAGGGTGAAGAAATTACGATCTTATAGGTGAAATTACGATTCTTATAGGTGAAGAAATTATGATCTTATAGGTCTTTTCCAACCTTGGTGATTCTGTGATTCTGTGAAATTGTTATTCTTAATAATCAATATATATATTAGAGTATGGAGAATAGCAAGATGATTGGTTTTGACAAGTTATTATTAATCATCAAGTCGGGTTAGTAAGGTAAATTTCTTATATTAGAACTGTTTCATTGTCTGGTGCAAAAACACAAAAGGGTAAAAAGAAAAAGAGGGGGAATTGTGAGAGGTAGATTGTGTTTTTGCAGTGGAAATTTCCAGTATTTTCGTACGTAGCATAGGATAAGTTGCTTTTCACAAAGGAAGTTGCTGAACAGAGTAAAGTTGAGACTGGGGCGTTCCGACCTAGGTAAAATTGGCACAGGCACTAGGTAAGGTAATTATATAGGGTAGGAGAGAGTCTGGTACAGGACAGAACCAGTGTGCAAATTGTTGAAAGTATTGTCCTCCTATCGCCGTAAAAAGTACAGAACATACCCAAAGACAATGGGTTGGTAACAGACATTGTATGGAAGTGTAACGTAGCTATGGAAATGTAATGTAGCAACAGCATCGGAAGACTGTGAGCCAGAGACACTCAACCAATGAGTGCCAGGAGAGGCTTTACCTGCGTTGGACCCAGGGTATATAATGGAATGGATATCACTGACAAGTTACGCAATTTCTCCCTTGTCAGTAGGGGGTGTGTGCCAATATTGCAAAAATGAATAAAATGCTCTTCACAGAGATCTTTACCTGATAGGAAATTTTTGATCTTGAGCATGTTTCTCACAAGAGTGAGATCAAGTCCCTGTAGTACATGTAAAGAGCATGTTGGGAAAAGCAGTTTGGGTCCTTCTAGCCTCTGGAAAGGGCAAACCTCTCCATGTTACTGTTTTTGCCCAGGGACCTGGGTCCACTTGGTGGGTAATGCAGAAAAACAGGGATGTTCAGTGTGTACCACAAGGGAATTTGATGTTGGGGGAGTGCAGTCAGTAATTTCATGTGTATATATATAGGTTTGTGCGTTTAATGCTTGTTAATTATGGTTGGTTTGTATATATTAAGCACGATGTAGTGATGTAGAATAAGGGGTGGAATGTCATGGTTTTGTGATTTTTGGTTTTCGGTATAACACATCATAACAACATGTAGTGCACTTGGGAGTTAAAGTGTTAATGCTCCAGTTCCAGGTACCTGTACGGAAGAGAAGAACAACTACATGTCCCAGGGGGCCGCACAGTCAGAGAGAAAGATATGTCACGGAAGTCACGGGATCTCGCTCTTGAACGGGAACTGGTCAGTTTTTTTTTTTCCTCTCATTTTTTTTCTCACTGTCTGGCAGATGGTGTGGAGGTGCTTCCAAGCTGTGTGCTTTCAGATTTGCTCAGTTTTGGAAAACCCTCTCTCTCTCCTATCTTATTTGATTTATTATTCTCAATTTCAATTAGATTGCATTATATTGTGTTATCTTGCATTCTGATATCATAGTTAGTAAAATAAGTTTTCCTCCTTAGATCGTTGCTGCTGTTCTGTTTTTTCTTCCTTGAGCCCAGCTCCCATTTCCCTACCCCTTTTCTTTTTCCCTTCCCATTTTTGGGGGCCGGGGGGCCCACAGGCCTACTGCCCCCCTGTCATGGGCATAGATTGATCTAGATAACTCCGTGACAGTATTATAGTGTGTTATCTTGCATTCTGATATCTTATTTAGTAAGTTAGTTAGTTTCTCCTCAGATCGTTGCTGCTGTTTTGTTTTTAGAACCATCTCTCTACCCTTTTCCCCTTTTCCTTTTCCCAGTCCATGGGTCCCCCCGCCCTGCTGGTCACGGAACTGGGCTGAAGCAGCCCTCAAAACATGGACAACAGTCCAATCAAGTCTATACATTTCCAATTTGAAGAGAAGTATGTTGTGGGGGACCATATAAAGTTCTTATTGAAGTACAGATAGATGACTTCAGTGGCTCTTCCCTTATCCACTGACACAGTTACTCCACCATAGAAGGACACCAGATTGGTCAGGCAGGACCAGCCCTTGCTGAAGTCATGCTGATTGTCATGTATCAACTCCCTCTCTTCCACATGGCCTAGCATTGCTTCCAGGAACATCTGCTCCATGTTCTTCTCTGGCACATGCGGCGTCTGATGCAGGGACTGAGATGTGAATGATCCAAATCATTTATTACAGGTTTTAACATCCCTTATATACATTCACAAGTTTTCTCTTTTAACTTTTCTACTCGCCTTTACATGTCAACAAAGCATTCCACAAACACTCCTTAACTGTGCACGCAGGCACTTATCCAATCAGAGCCATGAGTTGTTCCAAGCCACGCTCTCTTCCTCCAGTCATGGTTGTCTTCATGTGGCCATCACACAGCTTACTTGACTTTGTTTTTCTCTTCTTCAGGAGGTGTCCTTGGTTCTCAGCATTGCTTTTTCATGCTGTTTATCTTGCTCCACAGCTGCTGCTCTGAATAGCTTTTCTTGTATTCCCACAGGCACAGAAGTGAGACAGACAGGTTGGTCATTCCCTGGATCGTCCTTTCTACCCTTCTTAAAAATTGTTGCAACATTGCCTTTTTTTCAGTCACCATGGATTTCACCTGACCACCATGACAAATATCATTGAGAGTGGCTTGGCCACTATGTCAGTCAATTCTCTCAGGACTCTGGGATGCATCTCATTGGGACCCATGGACTTGTGGGTGTTCAGGTTCTTCACGTGATCATGAACCTGATCTTTGCTTACAATGGGTTGTAAGCTCCCCCCGTTCCCACTTTCTGATCTATCTACTAGAGGGCTGTGTGAAGAGCAATCACCAGTAAAGACAGAGGAAAAAAGTTTTTGAGAACCTCAGCCTTCTCCTTGCCCATTGTTACAAGCCTGCCTGTATTGCTCCTTAGGGAAAATAACACCCTCTTGGAATTTCCTTTTCTGGTTTACATCCCTGTAGAAGCCTTTCTTGCTCTTCTTTGCACCCCTTGCCAAGTCCAGTTCCAGTTGGGCCTTGGCCTTCCTGACCCCATCCCTACACAGCCTAGCTGCATGCCTATACGCTTCCCAGGGTACCTGTCCCTGCTTCCACTGCCTGTGCATTTTCTCCTTGCACTTGTTTGACCATCAGGTCCTGGTTTAGCCATTCCGATCTCTTTCCTTCATTTTCTGACTTCCTACACTTGGAAGCCCAGAACTGTACATAATACTAGTGTGGTGTGGCCTCACCAGTGCTGAACAGAGGGGAAGGATCACCTCTCTTGACCTGATGGCAGTACTTTACCTAATGCAGCCCAGCCTACCATTAGCCTTCTTTGCAGCAAGGGCACATTGCTGGCCCATGTTCAACTTGGTGTCCACCAGGACCCCTCGAGTCTTTTTCTGCCAAGCTACTTTCCAGTTGAGTGTTTACCCAGCCTGTACTGATGCCTGGGGTTGTTCTTCCCCAAGTGCAGGACTTTGCACTCCTCCTTATTAAGCTGCATATGGGTTCTGTCAGCCCATTTCTCCAGCTTGTCCAGGTCCCTCTGGATGGCAACTCAACCCTCTGTTGTATCAACTGCTCCCAGTATCATCCATGAATTTAATGAGGGTACACTTTTTTCCACTGTCCAGAGATGTTGGCGACTTGGTTTCAAAAATATATTTTGGAGTAGCCATATAAAACTTTCCTATCTATATTTAAAAAAGAGTTAGAAAAAGGAAAATTTCATCTTTTCAGCATCCAAAGTCAAGTTTGACAATTTACATTTAATGATATAAAAAAATGGTTAATATGAAGAACTTATGTGTCATAAGAAAATTCACAGCATTGTGATATTATTCTCTTCATTACTCATCACCTCCATTTTGGAACAATTCTACTTTTTTTTTCTTTAGTGAGTAAAATAGAATTCAATTTTTTGTTAAGCACATTAACTGATACACTTGTCTGCTTTGAAGTAAATGCTGACAAACACTTCTACTGTAACCCACTGCTAAACTGCTGCTAACAGTGTGAGCTTTAGTATGTTCTGGAATTAGAGGCTCCCCACAGACTTTCATAACCTTCTAAAGAGGAATTTTTCTGCCTTTGGTAAAATACGATTTAAATATTATGCTTTATCTCAGTCAAATTCTATTTTTGATGTTCCTACAGACTTGACAAAGAAGAAAAAAGGTTTTGGCTTAGCAAGGAAACTTATTTCATAGGGGAAAGCTTTATACCAGCATACACGACTCAACATTAAAATACTAAGTAGTTTTTAACTAAAAAAGAACCTAAACGAACAAACCTGAAGAAACTGCCTATTCACAACCTGAAGTCACATCACTACATTTTGCTCATGCAAAGAAAATTTGCAGTCATGAGTTGCACATAAAGGATTTATTTTAAATGTTTTAAGGATAGAGTTACATCATAATTATAAAAATTACTTACAGAATTAAGTAACAGATTTAAAGTATTCATACTTATAAATGCAGAAAACAGGGAACTGTCTAAATTGTTCAAAATAAAATAAAAATAATGAAACTGAGCTCTAAAGATGAAGTCATTACCTAATTCTATAATGTGAATACAAAGACATCTGAACTATACGCATACCAAGAACCATCCAAATTGCACTAATGAATGATGTAAAATACAAAAAGCACAGCATTTTCAAGGAACCAAAAACTGCTTTTACCATTTTTTTCCCCTGAAACAAGTGTAATATATTCTGTCTGAAAATAAAGCCTCCCTTTTAAAATAATTAATTTAAAGAAGGCTTATACCTATTGTAATAAGTAAGACTTTCCCCAAAGTATTTCAGTCTTCACATAGTCCAGCTTAGTTTAGGGTTTGCCATTCAAAAGAAGAAAAAAAGTAGTGTTCTACTAATCAATTGTGATTCTATTTATTCTTGAACAGAATACATGATCCCTTCAAATGCTGTATGACACATACAACTGGAAAATTACCTTCTGTTGGCACTATGTTTGCCTCACCAGTGCATTTAATCCTACTAACAACCATTTAAACAGCACAATAAGCAAATTCACAAAAAAATGAACAACCCCCCTCCCCCCAAAAAAGAAAGAAAGAAAGAAAGAAAAAACAGAACAAAACCCAAATCTAAACATTATAACATGCAACTTTAGTTTGTTACATTGAATGTTCTAACTTTCTAAGCATGCAGAGAAGGATGGCCCAGGTTTAATTTTTTTTAGTTTTAAAAAGTTTTACATGGCAGCTTGACATCACACACACACACAATATACAACAATACTACAGCAGGTTTTAGAGAGGCCAATAACTTTTATCCAAAGATCCATGTAATGTGCCATCACAAGCTCTATGATAAATTTGGAAAGCAATGTTGAACCTCTAGAACAAGGGGTCAACAATTAGTTACCAGGTTAACAAAAGCAGTGCATGCAGATCTGAAGCATTAGCCTAAAACAAAGCCTAAGGCAGATATCAGGGAGAAGAATCAGTCTCAAGCCTCAAAAATGTGTTTCTTAAGCTATCAAACATAAACAAAAGAAAAAAATAACCCTACCAAACAAACAAAAAAAAAAACAACCAACCCAAACCTTAAGAAAAAGATGAAAAGAAAAAACAAAAACTGTGTAACAAACAACAGTGACATCTAAAAACAACCAGAAATTTGACACTTTATAGATTATATTCTAATTATCAAAATACCTGATATATTAGAATGGTTTGCATAAAACTCACAAATGCAAGCCTAATGCTAAAAATGTTACAGTAGACCTAAACCTCAGCTATTTCAAAACAAATCTTGTATTCCTTAGACATATAGCCCAAAATTCCTTGTACCAAGTTATTCATGTATCTTGTGTATAATCAGTACACTCACTCATTCTTGTGCCACAAATATTAACTGGGGCTCATGGAGCCAGGCTCAGCTTTAAGATTTACATGCAGGACTCTAAGAGTCAATAGAAAGCACATAACAGATCTGCAGGATGAAAGCACTGCGTTGCAAATCTGCTCACTTTGTTCAAAACAGAAGGAAAATTTGCAACTCAGGTACTTAGTGCTTAAGTACTGGATTGAGAAGCTGTGAACTGAAATACAATTGCCTGCCTTGGGTTGCCCATGATGAAATACTGGACAGAATGTAATATAATAGCAAGAGACAAAGAATTAAAGTATCATATTTATACGGTATTACCATTCAACAGCATAATGAAGCACAAGCCTTAAGGCTAAAATATGAAATCAGGAAAAGAAAAGGACAGAAAGGGGCTTAAACCACTGACTCTTTGATATCAAGAATACTCAAAATAGAGGTCAAACCTTTGATCTTTGATTAATAGCACCTCTACTGAATCCTTCCACTAAGAGCATAAGGTTGTATATATCTATGTATTCCTTCTTTCCATCAGTAGTGTTAACTGTCTTCACATACTGTATTACTGTGAAGCTGTACTTTGAAGCTTGTAGAGCCCTGCTCTAAAGTAACATGACAATTTTGTTGCTGTCCAATTTTGTTGCCTTGTTGCAATTCTGATGCTTTTAAAAGCTGCTAAACTTAAAAAAACAATGAAATCCTAACCTTGATTTACAACCATCTTGCAAGATTAAAAATGTGAAAGGATTTGGCTGCTATTTACATCCACAGTCTAATGCAGATGACTGAACCACTGAGACTGCCTATAGCTTCCATTAGATAGTACACCACTAGCATGCAGAACTCTAGTGCTCGTAGAATGAAATTCATGTTAACAACATACCTCTAAGCAAGTACACCACAAAAGGCAACAACAGGTTTAAGCTGTAGATTTGTTTGGACACTCCTTACATGGAAAAGTCAGAAAAACAATATATTGGGAACATATATTCTTGAACCAAGATGGTTGAGAACAAAAGCAAGAAGGCTGCAGGTCACAGTCTCCCGTGGAGGCATGGGTTCAAATCCCACTCCTCTGGGTGTGAGATTCAAACAGAATCATCTGCAGACTGAGTAGAAGGCAATAAATACTTCTTCTCTAAAGGACGTCTTCAATGTAAGAGGACTCCATCTCCACCCTTGAGATTGTATTTACCATGTAAAACATTAACTACTGTTAGGCTTTTAAGTCTACAGACATATATCCAGTTTGGTAGGTTACATTAAATGAAAGACTACTGATTGACAATGCATAGACTGAAGTCTTCTTAAGTAGTATATATACTGTTAAACTTGTGGCACCAAGTACTTGGGTTTTGCTAAGAAATGTGTATAACAAAAGAAAGTACAACATTTAGGACTGAAGGTGGCTTTTTTGTGTCTATTTTACTGGTTTCTACAACTTGTAAAAATGGGCCATTAATCTGCATTTTCTAATGAATTGGTTATACAGATTAAATATATTTTTACACTTTAATGCCTTTTCACTGAAAGGTGTATAAGTCAAACACTTGATATCTTATTGCCCCATGACTACTAAAAATGCACAATTGTTTCCATGTACTGAAAGTTCTTAAAAAGCTTAATGTAAAACAAAAAAGAAAAAGCCTAGAAACACAGTAAATTTATGTTACTTGGGTTAGGCACTCCTTACTGCTTCATAAACCATTCAAATCTTTGAGAAAAGTCACCTCTGACTCAACCTGGAAAACAAGGACTGCCAGCAGCAAATAAATTAATTGTAATGTTACAAAAGAAGACATAAAAATAGCAAACTACATTTGCATGTGGCAGTTGAAGAGGTGAGTGTAACATTGAAGAAAATGTTAAAAATCTATGAAAACAATTAGATTACAATATTAGATTGACTTTACACAGCTTGATTTTGCAGCTGTTCTATGCTTTTAACTCCCTCCTACCCAAATATATTGACTTTCATCAAGAAATTGAGTTCTCTTATGCAAAATTTGTCACATTCACATAAATGTTTGTAACATTCAGAACAAAACAGGTTTGCTAGCAGAGACTGTGAGTTCACAGGGACATTTAAACTTTTGTTTAACTGAAAAGCAGTCAAGTCTTTGTGTCTACAAATTTTACATTTAATAGTTCCACAAATTTGGCAAAATTTCATGATGATATCTAGGATGTCTTCACCAAATCATAGACATAAATATGGAAATCATCATCAAATTTGATGAAATAGACAGATGGTTTGGCTTCAACTTGATGAATTACCATGCCAGTCCTTTTTGATCCATCTTCTTTGGCATACTCCACTTGTTTGCCTACCAGGCTGTCCACAACTTCACCTGGTTCCCGTTCTGCTGGAGGCGAATCATCTGCAATACAAAAATATAATGTCCTTTGGTAGACATTTATGGTTTTTTTTTCCAGTATAGAAAACTACAATCTTCTTTACAAGTTATAAGAAATAACCACAAGTTTAAAATGCAGAGCATGCCTAAGATGAATTGTTCAAACACCGAACTATTGCCATGCTTTTAGAAAGTACAGTTTTTCTTTAAGGTAATGCTATCTTCAATTTTATGAAGTAAAAAATATCACTTCACTTGGCTAGAAAAATAAATATTGACATGAAGGTTCACACACTAGTTACGGAACATATTTGTAGATAATTGAATTTAAGCCTCCCGCAGAACAAGGCACTGAATTTCTTTAACAAAAAAGCCAGAATGCTAGACCTCCCTTTCCCCACAAACTGTATTCAAAATGTCGATGTAAGCATCCCACTGTAACAAAAACACATCTTCTAAGTGTAACCTCCTTAATCAATAAAGCTGTTAAAAGGCCTTTTAACTTCCCACTAAAATTAATACTGTTGCTGAAGTCTAACTATATTGTTTGCTTTTCTAGCAAATAATATCTATATTTTTTCTGGTAAAAATCTAGCCAAAAGTATCCTTAAGGACACAATTCACATTATCTGAAAAAGATCCAAATTCAGGAAAGGTAGCTCATACTTTGGAGTCTCTTAGAAACAGAGGTAAACAGAAGATAGTCTCAGGATGAGTGCAAGGGAAAAAAGAGCACATTAAAAACAATTCTTAAATGTGGAAAGCATATAGGCCTCTTCCCTTATTTTTCTAAAGGTGGAAGAAAGCAAAGCAGAATTTTAAAATACCTTACAATCATTTTTAAGGTTTTACAGAGAACAAATTATTTGGAGATGCCAACTCTGAAAGAGCTTTATTTGTTTCTTTAGGAGTGGGGAGGACATTTTTTTTCCATTTGGAGTTCACTCTTTTCAAGCCACAGATATGTTGCTTTTTGTTAGACTGGAAAAAAAGTCTAAAAGCCTAAGATTACTTTAGAGGTTATGCAAATAAGTGCCACCTGTGTACTCATCCATCAGACTATTTATCATCAGTGACACATCTGAAGGAAGACAGTCTCAAACTCAATGAATGAATTTTAACTAATATTTCTACTGTGCAATTGAGGGCTACAAGCTTTTTAGAAGAGATAGACATGGAAGGAGGTGCAGAGGTGTTGCCCTCTATGTTAAGAAATGGATAGATTGCAAAGAGCTGCCTTTGAGAAACAGCCATGAACAGATTAAGAGCTTGTGGGTAAAAATTAGTGATGGGACCAATGAAGGAGATCTTGGGGTCTGATCAGGGTCTACTACAGGCTGCCTGATCAAGGGAAGCCTGTGGATGAGGCCTTCTTGCTTCAACTACAAGAAGCATCCTGCTGATAGGCACTAATCCTGATGGGGGATTTCAACCGGCTGGATGTCTGTTGGGAAAGCAAAAGAGCAGGCTGTAAGCAAACCAGTAGGCTCCTTGAGTGCACTGAGGATAACTTTCTGGTCCAGGTATTAAAAAAAGCAACCAGAGGTGAAGCATTACTGGACCTGGTGCTCACCAATGCAGATGAACTCATTAAAGAGTTTAAGATTGGAGGCAGTCTGGGCTGTAGCAACCATGCCCTAGTTGAGTTCACAATCTTGAGGAATATGGGCCTGGAAAAGACCAAAGTCAGGACCCTGAACTTCAGAATACCCGGCCTCCAGCTGTTTAAAGAATTAGTGATTAGTGGGAGAAATACTCTAGGAAACTGTCCTTAGGGACAAAGGAACTGAACAGAGCTGGCAACCATTTAAGGACACCTTTCCTAGAGCACAAAAGCTCTCCATTTCCATGTGTAAGAAATCAAGTAGGGGAGGCAGGAAACTGGCATGGCTGAGCAAGGACCTGCTGATCAAACTGAGGTGTAAGAAGGAAATGCACAGGCAGTGGAAGCAGGGGCATATGGCCTAGGAAGAGTGAGTACAGGGCTGCTGTCTGGATGTGTAGAGATGAGATCAGGAAAGCCAAGGAATGGATGCAACTGAAATTGGCAAGGGATGTGAAAAATAACAAGGGATTCTACAGGTATATTGGTGAGAAGAGAAAGGACAAGGAGAGTGCACCCTCTGTGATAAATGAGAAAGGAAAACTGGCCACAACAGACATGGAGAAGGCTGAAAGTACTTGACAAGTTCTTTGCCTCGGTCTTCACTGGTAGTCAGGCTTCTCATGCCTCTCTCATCCCTGAACCGCTAGGCATGGGTTGGAGGAGCAAAATCCCTCCCAATGTAAGAGAAGAGCGAGTCTAAGATGGCCTAATGAGACAGAACGTGTACAAGTGTATGAGGTCAGGCAACATGCATCCCACGGTCCTGAAGGAACTTGCTGATGTAGTTGCCAAGCCACTGTCCATCATATTTAAAAAGTCATGGCTCTGAGGTGAAGTCCCTGGTGACTTGAAAACGGAAACTTCACTTCAATTTTTAAGAAGGGTAGAAAGAAAGACCCAAAGATCTAAAGACCAGTGAGCCTCACCTCTGTGCCTGAGGAGGCCACTGAAGAAATGCTAAAGCACATACAAGACAAGGAGTTGATGTACAAGAGCCAGCATGGCTTCACCAAGGACAACTTATCTGAATCTGGTGGCCTTTTATGATAAAGTGATGGCATCATTTGACAAGGGAAGACCAACTGATGTGCCTATGACAATGGGCCAGTAGGCCCCTGGGCCCCCCTGGCCCCACAAAATGGGAAGGGAAAAGGGATAGGGAGATGGGAGCTAGGCTCAAGCAAGGGCAAAAAACAGTGGCAACTATCTATGGAGAAAAACTTATTTTACTAACTATGATATCGGAATGCAAGATAACACAATATAATACAATCTAATTGAAATTGAGACTAACAAATCAAATAAGATAGGAGAGAGAGAGAGTTCCCGGGACCAAGTCAAACCTGAAAAAGCTTGGAATGGCTAAGAAAGCACCCTCCAACACCCACTGCCAGGCAGTAAGGGACCGCCCCACGCGGAAGGGCCAAATCCCATGACTTCCGTAATGTATAGGGATAGGTACCCAGAATTGGAACATTAACACTTTAATTCCAGTACATGATATATAGATGTGGAATACTGAAAACCAAAAAAATCAAAACCGTGACATTCCACCCCTTATTCTACATCACCATATCATGCTTAATTTATATACACATACACAAACAAACAAAGATGAAAATGCATTACACACACGTCTATATACATATATATAAATAGAATAACTGACTGCATTCCCCCAGCATCAAATTTCCTTGAGGTACACATTGAACAACCCCGTTTTTCTGCATCACTCACCAAATGGACCCTGGTCCCTGAGCAAAAACAGTACCGCGGAGAGGTTTGCCCTTCCCAGAAGCTGGAAAGACCCAAACTGCTATTCTCAACATGCACTTCATTTGTACTACAGGGACTTTCTCTCCCTCTACGGTATGTAGGGAGCTGGATAGGGTAGGACCATCACGACTGATAGATCCTCTAGTGTTGACCAACCAGGTGGCTTCTGCCAAATGCTTCTCCCAGTGCATAGATGTTCCACCACCCATTGCTTTCAGCATGGTTTTTAATAACCCACTGTAGCGTTCAATTTTACCAGAAGCTGGTGCATGATAGGGGATATGATAAATCCACTCAATGCCATGATCCTTGGCCCAAGTATTTACAAGAGAATTTTTGAAATGAGTCCCCATTATCTGACTCAGTTCTTTCTGGAGTGCCATGTTGCCACAGGACTTGTTTCTCGAGACCTAATATGGTGTTTTGGGCAGTAGCATGGGGAACTGCATATGTTTCAAGCCACCCAGTGGTTGCCTCCACCATGGTCATGACATAACACCACTGCGAGACTGTGGCAAGGTGATATAATCAACCTCCCCATATTTATAGTTAGGCCATCACCCTTCCTCCCAGTGAGGTTTCATCCTCTTGGCTTGTTTAATTATGGCACATGTTTCACAGTCATGAATATCCTGTGCAATAGCATCCACAGTTAATCCACCCCTTGGTCTCTATCCCATTTGTATGTTGCATCTCTTCCTTGATGGCCCGAGGTCTCATGAGCCCACCGAGCTAGAAATAATTCACTCTTGTCCTGCCAGTCCAGGTCTATCTGAGCCACCTCAATTTTGGCAGCTCGGTCCACCTGATGGTTATTTTGCTATTCTTCAGTAGCCCGACTCTTGGGCACATGGGCATCTACATGGCGCACCTTTTCAACCATGTTCTTTGTTGAGGCAGCAATGTCTTGCCACAGTTCAGCAGCCCAAATAGGTTTACCCCTTCTTTGCCAGTTATTTTGCTCCCACTGCTGTAACCACCTCCATAAGGCATTTGCCACCATCCATGAGTCAGTGTAAAGATAAAGCATTGGCCACCTCTCCCGTTCAGCAACATCCAAGGCCAGTTGGACAGCCTTTACTTGTGCAAATTGGCTTGATTCTCCTTCCCCTTCAGTGGCCTCTGCAACTTGTCGTGTGGGGCTCCACACAGCAGCTTTCCATCTGCAATGCTTCCCCACAATACGACACGATCCATCTGTGAACAGGGCATATTTCTTTTTCATTTTCCGGTAGTTCATTGTATGGTGGGGCCTCTTTAGCACGTGATACCTGTTCTGCTGGTGATGTTCCAAACTTTTTACCTTCAGGCCAGTCCATGGATTCCTGGCTGGCTGAGGTTCCCCATCTGCGCTCGTTGCGTATTCAATGCAATCTACTTACTCCAAGTGGCATCAGTAGCATGATGGGTGGAGGGAACCTCTCCTTTAAACATCCAGTCCAGCACTGGCAGTCGAGGTGCTAGAAGGAGCTGCGTTTGAGTACCAACTACTTCGGAAGCAGCCCGAACCCCCTCATAGGCGGCTAAGATCTCCTTTTCAGTTGGAGTGTAGCACTCTTCAGACCCCCTGTATGCTCGACTCCAGAATCCGAGGGGTCGGCCTTGGGTCTCTCCTGAGGCTCTTTGCCACAAACTCCAAGTG